CTGGAACATGGCAGCTGTGTGGGCGGGCGGGGAGAGGCTGCTGCTCTGCTGCTCACTTGTATGACTTGCAAGAGCCCAGCAAGTTTACAAAGATCCTAGACAGCAGCTTTGCCGGAAGCAGAATTGCTCCCACTCTTCCTTGTACCTCCCGCACCAGACAGCTCTCAGCCAGAGCGCCTCAGTTCCTGGCTGAGCCGGAGGTCGACTGAATGTGGTGCAGCCAATGTGAGGAACTTTCCCTTGTGCCAATAATGCTTCTCCAAAAAACAGCTCAGGAAGGTGGGGAATTGACCCCTGGGGAGGTGCAGTAATATTATTCCTTTCTCCATGTTCCAAGAGAAACACAAGTGAGAGGATTTGATTTCTTCCTCGGGCTTCGCCAGTTCTGAATCATGTTCCGTATTTGCCCCGTTAACGTCGTCTCACAAAGAAACCTGGGTCCGGCAGGCACTTTCAACATGTAAGCTTTATGCAAACAATTACAGAGCTTTTGTTGCGTGTGATCTAAGCCAGGAAGCGTGAAATTGCATGTGAAGAGGCAGAGGCCGGAAACCGTAAGGAACAGTCATGCAGAGAATAGGGTTAAAAGGCTGAAATAGCAAAGCAAAACTGGATGCGCAGCAGGGAGGGAGAATAAAAGGCCAGTGAGATGGAGCCTCTATGTGATAGGCCTCAGAGGCGAGCTTGTACACGGGTTGTGTGCCTGGCTGTGTTCTGAGCTGCCCACTGTTCAGGGAAAGCAGTTTTGCTGATGGTTGGGGGCATCTAATGGCCCTCTAGATGGATTGCTCCCTAGCATCAGATGGGATCCCCCAGGAGGGCCACTTCTCTCTGATGTCTGTTAATGAACAGCATGGATTCGGGAAGAGCCAAGATGTGTAGTACACTTCATTCCCTCTCCTGAATTAGCCTGCTGGGGCTGGTGGAAAGATGGGAGAGAAACACCCTGGCTTCAGTCCTGCTACCCAGGGTCCCTAGACAGTAGCACAGCAAGCACAGGTTGGTGCCTGAATGAACACACCAGACAAGCCTTTGTATGCTCGGAGGACAAAAGACAAAGAGGAGCATTCTCAGCAGCTGCTAGAGAAATTCCTGATAAGATAGAGAGGAAGCAAAGAGCCCAAAGGAATTTGCAAATAAAAGGCCAAGGCTGGATAGAAGCAGCTTGGCATCTGTGGCTGGCTCAGAAGTCCAGGAGCCTCCTTATTGCAAGGATGTTGACCTCTCCTTGCTGTTGGGCTTTCAGGGCTAGAGAGTAACCTGAGGCCACTCTGCCTGCTGGTGTGCCCATGGCTTGTCTCTTAGGAAAAGCCTGCCTTTGTCAGTACCTGCCAGTATTTCTCTGCTCCTTTCCGACACCCAGGCAGAGCCTCAACACTGGAAGGCAGGCCTCTGACGGAGGGTGCACGGGTGAAGCTTGTTGTCCCAGAACGGTCTGGATTACATGGACTTTGCTCAGGGCAGGCTGATCTTGTTTGGAATCTCACGTGCCCATTTGGCACGGTAGCTTTCTCTTGCAAAGAACAGCACCAGCTTGATCTACAGATTGACTGCGGGTAAGGCGAGGTGACTGACTGGATTTGTGGCTTGTAGGACGGTACCCTGTTCTAGGATTTAGAGACTTCTGAAGAGTAGGATATTGCCCTCTTCAAAGCCTGAATGAGTGGTTTTCAGACACCGGCTTCCTTAGGACATATGGACTTAACAAACTCCTTCCTGTCTTGCAGCAGCAGGACATTACCAGTGTCCTTGTCTCCTGCTTTACCTGGAGCAGGTCAGAGGGTGTTCTTGGTGCTTTTGGGCCTGGTGGCTATGGAGGAGGGTTGCTTGTGCAGTTTGAACAGTCGAGGCAAGCACTTCTTAGGGCTGATCCTGCCCGGAGCAGGGGCCTGGACTAGCTGTGACCTCCTGAGAGCCTTGCCAGCCTGGTGGCTCTATGACTCTCTGATTTACTTCACTGTAAAAGGCATCTTTGAATGTGTTAGTGATCATATACTGAAATTCTAGTACTGAGCAGGCAACACAGGACTTAACAAGTGCCGGCAGGCTGAGCTGCATCTGCTGCAGCCTCTGGCACACATCCTATGCTCTGTCCATACCTGCCTTTTCGTTGTTCTGTCGCGCTTGACTTGTCCCATTGGGCGATTTATGGCACCGTGATGGATATTGCGTCGCTCCAGATAGACTGATTCAACTGTGTAGAACGGTGATTGTCAACCCAGGTGCTGTAGCACGCTGGGGTGTCTTGAGAGCCTTCCAAGGGTGCAACGGGGTGCCATGTAGTGCTAGCACTGTAAGGGGTGCAGTTGTAAAATCACAGACAATGAGGGCTGGATGGGACCACAGGAGGTCACATCTAGTCCGACCCCCTGCTCCAAGCAGGACCAGCCCCAACTACATCATCCCAGCCAAGGCTTTGTCTACCCGGGTCTTCAAAACCTCCAAGGATGGAGACTGCACCACCTCTCTGGGGAGCCTGGCCCAGTGCTTCATCACCCTCCTAGTGAGAGAGTTTTTCCTAATATCCAACCTCAACTTCCCTTGCTGTAACTTGAGCCCATTGCTCCTTGTTCTGTCATCTGCCCCCACTGAAAACAGTCCAGGTCCATCCTTTTTGGCTCTACCCTGCATGGAGTTGAAGGTTGCTATTAAATTCTCAGTAGTCAAAAACAAGTGAAAACTGGGAGCTGGCATTTGCTGAAGGATGCCGGGAGTCTAAAGCAGTTGAGAACCTCTGGTGTTGAATCTACTTGCTTTGACTCACGCTGATTGCCCTGGGGGACTAATTGCAGGAGGAAATGCTTTGTGGTATGTGTGGGATACTGGCTTGTGGAGCTGCTGCCCATCCCTGGCCCCCTGCTGACAGCTAAGGGATTTCTCCTTGGCTGCTGGGATAGGAGCCCATAGCATTTTATTTACAGGTCAAGGGGGTTAAAGCAGCTTTGTCCTGCCTACATTAGCAGTTTAATTGCGTTCAGCCCCAGTTCCAGTGTTCAGGGACCTGGCACTGAAGTGGTTGTACTCAGTCAGGGCTTGGGCAGTCAAGGGTGCAGTATGCCCGAGGGCAAGTCCAAAGAAACACGAGCTGAGATCTGGCTTTGACAGTGCCCAGAACTGCAGGTTCATTCATAGCACATAGGTTCTGGCAGACAGATCTTCAAGAGCTCCTCCTATGTGCTTATGAGCTTCCTAAAGTCTTGCTAGCGAAGCATGCCGGCAGTGTGATCATCAGGGCCAGCCCCTGCCTGAATTGCAAGTCTGAATTAGAGGAGAGGAAAAGTAAAATAAGGCTAACCGCACCTCAGTAAGGCTAACCGCACCTTGTCTTGCATCTACAGATGCATCACAAGCAGGTCCAGGGAAGTGATCCTTCCCCTTCATGCGGCGCTGGTCAGGTCGCGGTTGGAGTGCTGCGTCCAGTTCTGGGCGACGCAATTCAAGAGGGATGTGGCTGACATTGAGAGGGTCCAGAGGAGGGCCACTCACATGGTCAAGGGGCAGCAGGCCAGGCCCTATGGAGATAGACTAAAGGGCTGGAATCTATTCAGCCTCCACAAGAGAGGGGATCTGGTGGCTGTCTATAAACTCACCAGGGGGGACCAGCAGAAAATAGGTGAGGCTCTGTTCCCCTGGGCACCACCTGGGATAACAAGGAATAACAGCACAGATTGATTGAGAGCAGGTTCAGGCTTGATATCAGGAGGCATTACTTTATGGTTAGGGCTGCCAGGCTCTGGAATGGGCTCCCGAGGGAGGTGGTGCTCTCCCCTACCTTGGCGGACTTCAGGAGAAGGTTGGATAGATATCTGGCTGGGGTGTTATGATCCCAGCACTCGTTCTGCCTAACGCAGGGGGTCAGACTTGATAATGTGTTCAGGTCCCTTCCAACTCTAGAAACTATGAAACTATGAAAATGGTGTGTTTTCATCCTCCCCAGTGGTGGAAGAGGGCATTCCTCCCTCCCTTCCTTCTTTAGTTAATGCTGGGTGTTGGGCGAAAGACGATTCATTTTTTTTTGTTGGGCAGAGAAGAGCATGGTGCCACAAGGCCATGAAATTCCTAGGTACTGTGATCCAAGATGCTTGTTCGTTTGCAGGCCACTGCTTGGGACTATCACCAGACTTGTGGCTGCCTCACCAATTTGTCTAAATCCATCCATATTAAAACCAAGCTAGAGCAGTGGTCCTTTCTGTCAGTCCCATGGCTGACCATGAGTGTGGGGCAGGAATCCCTGTGGCTGAGGTGCTACATCCCAGAAGGTATGACCCTTGCTCTTAAGTGGAAGGCAGGGTAATTTAAACCTTATAGACAAGCCAAAATAGATAGGTAGGTAGGTAGCATCATAGAATCATAGAAAGTGAGAGTGTGAAGGGACCTCAGGAGGTCACATCTAGTCCAACCCCCTGCTCCAAGTAGGACCAGCCCCAACTACATCATCCCAACCAAAGCTTTGTCCAGCCAGGTCTTAAACACCTCCAAGGATGGAGAGTCCACAGCCTCTCTGGGGAGCCTGTTCCAGTGCTTCACCACCCTCCAAGTGAGAAGGTTTTCCTAATATCTAACCTCAGCTTCCCGTGCTGCAACTTGTTCTGTCATCCGCCACCACAGAGAATGTAGCTAGATAGATATGTATGGAAATGTAGATGTCTGTATTTCTGTACCTCTTTTGGTTAGTCTATAAGTTTTAAATCTACCCTGCCTATTATTGACTTCCGACTAACATGGCTAATTATGTCCCTGGCTCTTAAAACACCTAGGGAGAAGCAAGCCAACAGCTCCCCAGCTTACACGTGTTTACTTTAGCATGGTATTCACTCACATTTCTGCCCCAGTGGTTTTGCCCTGTAGGTCAGCTGGTGCAGATGAGTTGGAGGTGGAAGTCTTCTTAGTCAGTCTTCCTGGCCTTTTCCAGGGGCAGAGCCCAGGGCAGGTTTCATAAAGAGGGAAGAGCATGGCTTTGACAGGTTTGCAGTCTGGTCTCCCAGCAGTTACTGCTAAAGATGGTCGCAATTGTAAGGACTTGCTGTTTCCAGGTCTCACTCAAGATGACAGTGAAACAAACCAGGCTTCTGTGCTGGATTTAAAGACTAAGTGCTGCAGTATTAACTAAGTGGTTCAGTGCGTCTGATCCGTCCAACACCTGTGGTACATTGCAGTGTAAAACCATCCTTCCACAGGGTCCTGCAGCCCCAACTGTATGGGCTGGGCTCAGTGCCTGCAGAAAGGGTGTGAATGGGCCCAGCTGACCCCACCTGCTTTTGAAGCAGGACCGTGCTCCCCCCTGATTACAAGTGAGCCTGGGATGCGAGCTGTGTGAAGGAGTGGGTGACCCTCTGCTGTGTCTGTTCCAGCATAACACGGGAGGCCTCATGCTCCTCTCCTTTCCTCCGTAGTGCACCAACGGGCACCTCATGTGTGCCGGCTGCTTCATCCACCTGCTGGCGGATGCCCGGCTGAAGGAGGAGCAGGCCACCTGTCCCAACTGCCGCTGTGAGATCAGCAAGAGCCTGTGTTGCCGAAACCTGGCTGTGGAGAAGGCAGTGAGCGAGCTGCCGTCAGAGTGTGGCTTCTGCATGCGGCAGTTCCCCCGCTCCTTGCTGGAGAGACACCAGAAGGAGGAGTGCCAGGACAGGTGAGCAGAACCACCATGCCACTCCTCCTGCCGTCCGTCTGTTAGTGGGCTGGGGATCAGTGCCTGTCACTTGGGGGCCAGGACAAGTCCTGGGGAGAGGAATGCATGCTCTAAAATAGGCTAGTTAGAGCACAGCGACTTGTATCTCCTTCGAAATGTGAGTGCATAATGGGAGCATCCAAAGTGAGCTTCTGGCGTGCGTTAGCGTGGCTGGCAGCAGGTGCTGGGAATGTGGGCAGCTGGATTTATCTATCTGTGGACCTGGCTGTGCTCCAGGCCTCAGGAGCTGACTTGTATTTATGTCCAGACCTTCCAGACATACGGTAGTGCAGGGGAGTGATGAAATTGGCTCTCCTGCTAAACAGTCAGCCTGGGTCCCAGCAGGCTTTGTGGGGAGCTGCGGAACCCCTCGGGCAGCAACCCCCAACCGTCACTGGCCCATGGGCAACTATAGCATGAAGGTATGCGCAGGGGTAGGTCCAGCGTCAAGTGACCTTGCAGGAAAAATGTTGCCTGTAAGCTGCAGGTTGGGGGAATCCACACCTTCGAGTGACCAGTGTCAAGGCAGAAAGGACCCCTGTGAGCAACATTGGGTCTTATTCTCTTGTAGCTTGTGATTTTCCAAACAGATCTGTGCTGAGGAGCTGACCAAGGGAAGGTTGAATGCTGACACCCATTTTCACATGCCACAAAGCATGGTGTCCGTTCCACCCTGACTGATGCAGCAGCATACGTGCACTCTATACAGATTATCTTCAGTTGTTAGGTGTTGCAGAAACCTAGGGAGGGTGAAAAATTGAGACCAAGGAAGATTAGAAGCATGGACAGGCAAGCAATTACAGGAGATTCATCTCAAGGAAAATTGAGGGGTTTGAGTGCGAGTGAGGGGTTTGAGGCCATGGAGTGACTTTCCAGACTCTGTAGGTCTGTTCTTGAGGCATTGGACAAGGCACCAAGTTGCAGTAGGTCCATGATGTGGGGATGGCACAGATGGGACTGCCGAGAATCAAGCACTCCAGCTTTAATGCTGGTTATTCACAAGGGACTGGGGCTGCAGGTCACGGTATGTAAAAGAGGTGAAATACAGACATTTCAGTGTGCTCCGGGGCTTGGCTGCAGTATGCTGTGCTCCTCTCCATAGGGCTCTAAGAGAGACTTCCGCTGGACTGTAGATACTCATGTGATGGCCTCAGAGGAGGCTTGTTAGGTTCTTACAGCCTGCATCTCCCCTCACTGTGCATCTCTGAGCAGCCGGAAGCCAGCAGGGTGCATCTTGTAAGCAGCCTAAAATAGCTCAAAGCAAACTGGCTGGGCCTCAACAGCTGTTTTGGTGCAGAAGAATTCGTAGCACAGTGTTGCTGGATGTAAGCAGCACCCTGGTGAGCACTGTGGTCATACTAACTTGTGCCGCTTGAGCCTTAGCCCATGTCCAGAAAGCCATGGCTATCTATGGGAGAGGCTGGGCTCCATGACTCCGTATGCAGGCTTGGCTGTTGTCAGCGCTCTTCCATCTTAAGGTCCTGATTACAGATAGTCCTGACAGCCCAGATCACCTGGGTCATGTTGCTGGTAGAGGAGACTTGCTGCTTTGCTCTGTCCTCATGTCTGTATAGCTCTGCAGGGGATGAAGAGATCCCTGCAAACCCTCCATGAACTTCTCTGGGATCTCATAAAACAACAGGTGCTGAAGAAGCCCCAGGGTTCCTTCGTGCTTGAGTAACTCCCGAGCAAACGGGGTTTGTTAAGCCAGTCACTGTGAACATCAGTTTAGCTTTAGTCCCTGTTTTGAAAGACATAAGAAGTGAGCTTTAGCCCACAAAAGCTTGTTCTATAAATATGTATCTACTTTAATTAGTCTATAACGCACAAATCTTCCCTGCCTTCTGCTTGAATAACTACAGCCAAACCAGGGAGATTGCAAAAGCACAAAGCTCTTCAGCAGGGATAGCAGCCCTGGCTGTCAGCATCCCCAAGGTTCAGCGAGGGTTTTGGTAGCCTGGGTTGTACTTGCTGTTCTTTCTGGCTGGTTTAATTTGTTTCATAGGGTCCTCAGCTGATCATGCCCTAAATATTCTCATTCCCAAAGCCTCGTTTGCTACTTGTGCATCCCATCCTGAGCGCAGCACCCGCACACAAGCCAGGCAGGGACTCAGGTTAAGAACATCAGCAGGGCCATACTGAGTCAGACCAGTGAGCCATCTAGCCCAATATCCTGTCGCTGACAGTTGTACGAGTGGATGCTAGAGGGAGAGCATTGAACTGGCTAGATCTAGAGATTGATCTGTCCCCTATTAGTACCCTCCCTGGCTTCCACCATTATTGGTTTAGAGGAAACATCTTCACCTGTTCTGTTCTGTTCAGCACCTAGGAATAGATCCATCATCCGTGAATTTATCCAGACCCTTGTTGAGCCTGGTTCTGCCTCCACCACCTCCTGCATCAGTGAATCCCACAAGTTAACTATGCCTTGCATAAAAAATACTTTCTCATTAGTTTTAAATCTGACTCCTACTAGTTTCAGTGGGTGCCCCTAGTTGTAGTGTTCTGGGATCCTGTTGGGACCCTGTTCCCTTGGCCCACACCCTTCCTGATCTCAGTCATTGACCCCCCGCTTTGTGTCCTCCTCTTCCTCACAGGGTGACTCAGTGCAAGTACAAACGGATCGGGTGCCCATGGCAGGGGCCATACCATGAGCTGACTGTGCACGAAGCCGAGTGTACGCACCCAACAAAGACCGGGAACGAACTGATGGAGATTCTGGATGAAATGGACCAAACGCATAAAAAAGAAATGCAGCTGTATAACAGCATCTTCAGCCTGCTGAGCTTTGAGAAGATTGGCTATACAGGTAATCACACAGGCAGGGGGCTCAGACACACAATGTTTTCAGTGTGTTCCTTTTGGCCCTGATGTCACATACATACTGATGACACCTGTTTTTCTTATGTAACGTGCAGTGGCTGTTTCTGTAGATCAGAAGAGCTGGGCTGTGCTGAGCCGACAGTAACAGCAGTGCTTCTGTCCCAGTAGTGGCCCAAGGAACATCCCTCTCTGCTTGACAGTGGGGCGCATCTCGTGTCCCTGCTCTCTTCGCGGTGCTGGGCGGAGATGGAGGGGTGCGTAGCATGTTGAGCCTTGGCTCGAAAGCAGCAAATTTCACTGTCCCGGCGTCAGGTGGGATTTTGATTCAGGAGGCGAATGCAAGATCCCTGGTTCTTGGACTGGTGAAGACTGGACCTGGTTCAAAGGTTCTGTGCGTGGGCTCTGGGCAGGAGCTGACCTCAGTTCTCCTGGAGCTGCTTCCCCGATGGCTCATCCAGTGAGCGGTCTGGGTGCCGAGCGCGGAGGAAGGCCTCCTCCCTAGCTGCAGGTAAGGTGCCGTAGTTGCATCCACCGATTGCCGGACCAGCCCAGAATGATAAGCATCTCAAAGCAGTGTTGCCTGTGACGGTTGTGTGTTTTGCCGCGAGTGAAAGGGACATGGGACAGCGTCCTGCTGACAGAGCCCTGGTCTCTCATCTGCCGCATCCTTGTCCCGGGAACCCGGGGTAGTAATAACTTGACATGCAACAGCCAAAGTGACCCACGCGCTAGGCTTCCCATGCCCAGCGAGCGGTAATGACGGCTCCTCACATTCTGCTTGGACTCCTCCTGTGCAGTGGAGCCGTTGGCCAGGCTGGTGTTATCTCTCACTAGGCATCTCCATGCTCTTTGTTCTGCCCTCTGTGTCTGGAGAGCAGTTCGTGGCACCGTAACATTTGTTGTTTCTCCTACTTGAGCACCTCCAGGTCCAGCTTTTTCCCAGGGCTGGGAAAAACCTAGTGGAAAGCTCTCAAGTGCCTGCCTAAAATCACAGTAGCTTTGAGGGATGGGTGGGGTGGTGAGAAAAGGGGATGACCAGGGAATCAGTGGGTCAGCGGTGCAGTAAGACACAGAGTTGAATGGCTAACCCAGGTAAGCTCGCTACTTTCTTGGTACATCATTGTCAAAATCTGGCCGTCCTACAACTGCTGTTCAAGGCTTGTTTTTGGTGTAAGTCCTGGGAGGTCGTTTACATGGACGAGACTCTGTCAGGAGGGTGTGGAGGGAGAAGTTCAGGGGTGGGGAAACCGCATTTCCCTCATCCAAAATACTTCCCTGCTCTGGAGAGAAGATTCCCAGGCTTGGCCTGCCTTCCTCAGCCCCGAGGGGCAGGGGAGGTTCTGCTGCAGCAGAGGGAAGCTGCAGGCAGAAACATTTGAGATGAAAGGCTGTTCCAGGTCCATTTGCCTATCACCATGGAGGTAGACAGGTGGTGTCCCGCTGTTGTTCTAGCCCATCCGTTGCATCCATTTCTTTGCTTTGTAGCGCTGAAGCGGAGTCCTTTGGGAACGTTCCCTAGGCCAGCGTGTGTCACGTGAAGCGTGCTAGGAGCCCAGGTCATGAAAACCAAACAGTCTTGGTAGTCGATTCCCATCCTTCAGTTTCTGATTCCCCAGCACGGCGTGGGTCGGTGCCAACGGACGTGGCTGAGCAGTTGGCTCCGAGGAGAGAAGTTCCGTTTTGCACCATGGTAGTGCCCACGCTTTGAACTCACGCACGGGTGCAGAACACGGTTGCTGCCTAGTGACCGAGACGGCCTCAGCTGGGCCGTGGCGGCGGTATGGGGGCTGAGCCCTCGCGGGATAAGTTAGCTCAGGGTGAGCACTTTTGAGAATGGGGCAGAGCAGACATTGTGGTTGACCCCCATTTTGTGTTGCCAAACACAGTGCAGCAGTGTCCGGGGGACCGGAGCTGCCCTTAGAAGCCCTTTGCCCTTCGGAGGAGCTGGGTGTTAGCAATAAAACTTCTTGATGCCTGGAGGTATGGTTGGACTCTGGAGCTTATCTGTAGGAACCGGTAGTAAAATGATGGTGTACCTCAAAGCACTGGGTTACAAATGTTGTGTAGCTTGAATAACTGATCACCTCCTTTGTCCAGGTATTGCCTGCCGTGCTCTTCTAACTCTCTTCGGGAATCAGTGAAGACTGTAACTATGTCTGAAATGCACCTAAAGGTTCATTGCACCTGTAGCGATGCTGTGAGAGTCCATGGTTTGTACAGCAAAGACTTGCAACAGTGCAACAATGTGCTTGTTCAAAGGTGCTAGATTTGGAAAAACTCTGTTGCATGATGGACCCTGGTGGGAAAGGGGTAAATGGACTGATGGCGGACTGTACCGGGGAAGGTGTGGCTGGCTTTTACATTTGCACAGTGCACTGGCAAAATCTTACTTGGAACTTCTCTACCCAATGTATTTATCGTACGTCTTTATGTATCGAAACCCGGGATTCTCTGTACCTTACCGAACCTCGAGGTCTGTATTTCACGTGCCCTATTCTTCGGTGTTGCGCTGTGGCGATGCATACTTGTGCCTTACGACCTTGTTGACAGATCTGTATGCATAATCCCAATAAAACGTGCGTTGTTATCTGAACTGCATCCTGTCTGTGTGTTCGACTTGTTTCTAAGCACTCCTGTCTCAGGGTGGGACCACCCACCGCCCCTCCAAAAGCTGAATTCACTGCACTCTCGGGGGCTCTTCATGCTGAGCATTGTCTGACAGATCAGGAGGGATTTGGAGGTCACCTCCGTCTCGCCATTCTTGATGGCACGTTTTATCAGGTCTGCTTCCACCACCGCCTAGTTTGGTACAGCCGTATGCTGTGTGCTGCACCCCAACTCCAGAAGCTGACATGAGTTTGATATGTAGCTGCTAATTCAGATGCAAGGATGTGCTCTGTGACACCACTAAGCAACTTGTGAAACTCAGCACCCACAAGATAGGACTGTGGCCAGGAATGTAGGAAGCCTGAGAAAAGAGATGAGATGGATCGTTAGCAAGAACATCGACTTCCCCCTTCACACGCAGATTTCGATGAGAGATGCACCTCGCGCACCGGAGATGAGGAGGGGGCCTCCTGGCGGGCGGGCAGGGGGTTCTGAAGCTGTGCATTCAGGGGGTTTCTTCAGACTACCTTGTCAGCATCTGGGCTTGGGGAAATGGGCCTCGAGGCTGGATGCCCCGTTGGTCCAATTCCTCTCGTTGAGAAGGTTGTGTATTCAGTTGATTTGACTCATGCTGTGTGTATTTCTATTCCCAACCCCCTCCATTCCCCTTCCCTCAGTCTTATGCATCTTGAAAGTGCTTCCTGTATTAACGTTTTCATTGGAGTATTCAAGTGCATTGAGTTCCACCCCCAGAAGTCATGTTTCTCCTGACACTAATTGGCTTTCAGTGGCCCATCCACTCCCAGTTGTCTCCTTCCGTCATGTCAAGAAGGGTCCTGCACTGTAGCGACAGGTAATTCGAGCATGATGGTCAGGCTGCCAGCGGCTCTGGTTAATTGTCTGTGTTTTCTCCCCCGCCCTCTTTTGTTCTGTTGCAGAAGTTCAGTTCCGTCCCTACAGAACAGACGACTTCATCACGCGCCTCTACTACGAGACGCCCAGGTTCACCGTGCTGAACCAGACCTGGGTGCTCAAGGCCCGCGTCAATGACTCTGAGCGCAACCCCAACCTGTCCTGCAAGCGCACTCTCTCCTTCCAGCTCATTCTGAAAAGCAAGATCAACTCCCCTATGGAGTGCTCCTTCCTGCTCCTCAAGGGACCCTACGACGATGTGAAAATCAACCCTGTGATCTATCACTTTGTCTTTACCAATGAAAACAATGAGACGGATTACGTGCCGCTCCCCATCATAGACTCCGTGGAATGTAACAAACTGCTGGCGGCCAAGAACATCAACTTGCGGCTTTTTATATTCCAGATACAGAAATAGGCAAGGCTTAGTTATGCTGGAAGTTACCAAGAAAGCGCCACTGAACCACAGTTACCTCGTATGGCTGCCTGTGCCAGTTGTGATCTCACACTAATTCGATCATTTGAAAAAAAACAAAAAGGAAACGAAAGCAAAGCGTCTGCATGTGTATGCAACAGCGTAAGCAGTCACCGCCTCCCTCCTCCTTCCCCTTTCCCCATCTGCACTAGGGACAGCCAGGAACGGAGCCAGACCCCTCCTGGAGGGCTGGCATGGGGGGGACTGGCAGCCGGGTGCCCCCTGGTTGCGGCTGAGTGAAGAGCGCTCTGGAACGCAAGTCGGGGAGCCGTGGCTCCGACCCGTTCTGCTGTGCCACGGAGGAGCAGAGGGATGGTGTTGTGGTTAAGTGTGTGGCCATGGTGTTGCAGCGTGGGGGCTGTGGAGGGGGTGGTTTTACCTGTATCTCCTCCTCCTTCCAGCCGCCCATTGGTATGAACGAACCCCGATAACTGTTAGCGTCCCATTTCGGTTATGGGGCGGGGAGTGCTGGGGCAGCTCTCTCTGGAAGACAGGGCTGGGGAGCGCGGAGTTTCTTACCGGATGTGCAGCGTGGGGCCTCTCTCTCTTTTACTAGTTAGAATAAAAACCTGGGGATTTTTCAGTCGGTCCTATTTTTCTTTCCTTTCAGAAGGTGCCAGCCAGTGGTTTGGGGAGCTTCTGCCCATGGGGTTGAAGTTCCACCCTCCAGTGGGAAGGGGTGGAGGCAGGGAGAGGCAATGTTACTGTAGTGCATTACGTTTGAAAAAGTTCCAAAGAACCCAACCCCCCATTGTATATAGTTTGTACAAACTAACCCTTCATTCCAGTATTCCTTCCCCTGGCCACGGGGTCCAGCCGTTAACTGTTGCAATGGTTTGTCGTGGAAGAGTCGGAGAGGCACGGTGAGGATGACAAAAGGCCTACACTGGACATTGCACGATCTCCTCTGGAGTTGTGACACAGACCTCCTGGACTGAGCCGGCTTTCCTGGTAATTCCCAAGCAAAGATACCTTGACTGTCTAGGAACGTAGAAGTGGGTTTATTGGACTGTTCTGGTGGCCAGTGGATCAGAACGGTTCTTAGTCCTCTTCCCCCACAAGTGACATCATGGGATGATACAGACAGAGCGCCGTCTCTCAGATTCATTTTGTATTGCCCTTCACGGAGAAATAACCGAGAGGCCATTTCATTTCTTTCCGCAGCTGCGTGCAACATAGTGCAGGCTGACATTTTACCTGAGACCAGAGGAGCTCCGTAGACACCGAATCTAAATTCGCTCAGCCCTTTCGGAATGCAGGGTGAAATTCTGTCCCTTTCCGGTTTTGCCAAAACTTGATTTTCTTGCAAAACAGGAAAAAAAAAAGAGTTCCAGGCTCTTCTAGCAATTATGCAATTTTACAGTGTGATAAATATTTTTTATATATTGACTATATGCCGCATGTTTATGGACAGGGATAGTGCAGCCACTCACCAAATCGTGAAGAGATCTACAGGGATGTGTCATTTGATGCTGTTTTTAAGACGTTTTAAATGTGGGGTGCTACGGGGGGGTGGGTGAGAACTGCATCACAAACTCATTCGTACCGTATGTCCAAGGTCAGCCACCTCATTGATGTGCCCATCAAAGAAGTCACGCTGAGCGGTAGGGGGTTTTGTTTTTTAAGGGGGTAACTGGACAGGATTTGATGCAACTCAGGGGCTGGCAGCGTGACCCAGCTGGGGTCACAAGTGGGCTGGCTCTAGACCTCCCCCCCTCTCCCCGCTTCTCTGCTGCCCAGGGCGGATCTGATATCAGGAGGCAGGCTGGACATCAGGAGGCGCTACTTCACAGTCAGGGCGGCTAGGACCTGAAACCAACTTCCAAGAGAAGTGGTGCTGGCTCCTACCCTGGGGATCTTTAAGAGGAGGTTAGATGAACACCTTGCTGGGGTTGTTTGTCCCTAGTGCTTTTTCCTGCCATGGCAGGGGGTCGGACTTGATGATCTGCTCAGGTCCCTTCCAACCCAACCAACTATGAAACTATGATGGCTCCGTGAGCCGGATCCGGCCTGCAGGCTCTCGGCTGCCAACCCCTGACGTAGCTGAGGCACGTCTCTTGCGGACACTGCCCTCAGCAAAGCCGTCTTGGTTTCACTTGCTGTCATGCCACCTTCTCCACTCCAGGTTTTCATTCGGGATCATGTCAGTTTTTCAGCCAAGCTTTTTTACTTTCCGTCACGGGCCTTTCGAAAGGCAAAGGCCTGTGGGAGTCGGAGCCCTTTTGTTGATAATTTGCCGAGCCTGTCTGCTGTGCCCCCTGGAATAGGAGAATGGTTTGAGTGTGAAGCCTAGTCAGTAGTCTTAATGGTTTCTTAGTGCTGTCTTCTAAAGAGTCGTAGAGTGTAGTGGTGCCAAGGGAAGGTCTTGCTGCCACGTGCAAGCCACTCGTTCAGACTGCTCAGCCAGGACGGAGAAGGGAGCTTTGTGAAATGCTCCGCGAGAGCTGCTGGTGTTCCTCCCCAGGCCGAGGGCTGGTGGCAGAGCCAGTTCCCATAAGGCTCGGCCCTTCCTTCCTCCTCCCCCTCCTCCACTCCCATGGCCCTAGATGTGAGCGAGCAATGCCTGGTGCTGGCTAGCTGCAGTAGCGAGCTGTCAGCTGACACAGGCACATCCATCATGGAGGAGTAAAAGCTCCTTTAGCTTTCTGCTGATGAAATACCAAAGAGCCATTTCCCCCTTCACTGAGTCCTTCTTCGTTGTGGTCAGAGGTTGCGTACTCGCCTGGCACACAGGAGGACCGGCGCTTGTCCTGGGCAAGGGTTTCCAACGTGCAAGAGTTACCCCAAGGCTGCGTTGAATGTGGAGCAGGACAGAGCCCCTAGTCCAGTCCTAATGAGCTTTCTTGAAGATGAATGTAATGTTTTCCCAAACAGGCCATCTCGGGGTTCCCTGTTTTCTGTACCGATGGCACCAACCAGATCGCTGCTGGATAGAGTACCCTGTGCTGCCACTGGCTTCCTTGGTGGTGGGCTTCTGAGATCCAGTGTGTTGCAGGCTCTGTCTGAGGCCAGATCAGGAAAGACGGTGCACTCGGATTGAAGCATTGTGGAACAATCGGTCTGAGATCTGAGCCCCTGGCTTAGTGCAGTCTGGAGTGGCGTCTCTTGCCTGACTCTCAGGGGAGAGAAAAGGACAATGAGCAAGCCGGCATTGCAGTTGGCTTCCCTTGTTCCTAGCCTGTGGTTAGTGCAGGTTGTTTCTGGGTGTCAAGCACACAGAGGTTTAGCAAGCAAAGAAAAGCTTCGCACAGTGTGCAGTTATGGGCTGGCCCAGACAGCGCGCTGCGAGCAAAGTGGATTTTGCTGTGAGGAGCAAGGACTGTACTGCAGGCTGGTGCAGGCCACCATTTCCTCTGTCATTTGAACCTTGTTACTACTTATTCACTGGTTTGAACTGGACTAGACGGCCCCAGGAGTACTGGAAGCCCCTGACACTGCTGTGCGGTCAGCGCAGGTCCCGTGTTCTGCAGACACTGTGGAAGAGGAACGTGGATGGGTCACGTGTCCATGTGAAAGTGCTCGCCCTGCCACATGACATGGACACATGCCCCTCGTGCAGAGTACGCTGTTACTGTGGGGTATTTGGGGAGGCAGTGCCATTGTAATAGGTGATCGAAAGTGATCTAGAAGCATCTTGCATGTGAATTTTGGGATTCCAAGACCGCCAGCCCTGGCATTGGTGAAGTACAGACTTGTCTTGTCCTGCCATGTTTTAAGAGGTTCACAGTCGAATGCAAAGACCTCATCTGCCTCGAGGAAGGTTTCCATCTCCTAGCACAGCTGTAAAACACCCTGTTCTGCCGTGGACATCTCTTTGGAAAGAGTTGAGACCATTCATCCCCGTGATGCTGAGAATGAGATTTAGTTAAAGCCACTAGTCAAACAAAGCAGAGCACCAGGCAGGGGTATTTCTCTTCCACCCGTGCCCCTTTCCTCAGCCGCAAGGGCAGAAGGGTGAATATTTACCAGGGTGTTGGTTAATATTCAGCTTAGTGGTGCTTTCTGTTTTGTATAGATCAGAGGGCATCCACCTTCTTGGAACCAGAGCCACCGGGAGTGGGCTGGTGTAGGTGCAGAACCTCCGTACAAACAAGCTCCGTATTAGTTTGATCTCCTGAAGTCACCATCATTCCCTCCTCAAACCAAGGCAGAAGCTAACGGGTAGAAGCTTCCCAAAGCAAATGGAGCATCCTCAGAAGAACTCCCTGTACCTGAGAAGCCCCCTTCCCAGCCCCAAAGCAACGCACGTCTTGGTAGAAGAGAGGCCTCTTTGCTGGGGGGCTTGGGAACACGTCATGGGAGGGCAGAGAGATGTCGTCCCGCGGTAGGGACTCCTCGGGATCCTGCTTGAGAACTTCAGGCCAGTCCATCAGAGCATACTCAGGGGATGGACAGCGACAAAGCTGTATTGGGAGCAACGGGACGCTGGAACTGCTCCAGCCCAACATGCCCGTACAAAGGAGGGAGCTCCTCCATACCGCTCCATCTCTGCTGTCTCAGCTACAGCTCGGCAGTGTCCTCTGGATGACAGCACACTTGCTGCAGGTATCATTCATGGACAGCTTCTCCTCTCCGCTGGTTGCTTGCTGACTCAACCGTTGTATAGCACAACGGGCTGCCCCACGAGGCGCTGGGGCAGCCTGGGACCTTTTCAGGGTAGAATGGTTTTACGATGTCCTCTCTCTCGTTGCCTTCCTGGGATTTTTCAGGCTGGTATAACCCTGCTCGTGGCCTAATCTCTGTTGTTCCCCTCTGACTGTTCCTCCCTCCCCTGAGTGTCGTGTGAGTGCTGGAGGGTTTCTGAAGGCAAGTAGCTCTTCTCCCAGGCAACTGGAGCCCAGGACAGGCAGCAGCTGTGCCCAGCTGAGCTCTGCTGGTGGGTAGCATCACCAATGGTGTAGGACGGAGTTGCCAGGCACCAGCAGACTCTTCCTGCCAGTGGGTCCATGCTGCCCAGCTGAGCGCCATGATGCACAGGGCCTGAGTCCTCTGCCTGGACCGGCTACAGAATGAACGCAGGTGTTCTCATCTCCGTGACGGGGGCAGCTTGTGGACGGGCATTGCCGGCATACTGTAGCGGTGGCTGCGCACAGCAAATCCAGCTGAGGCAGGGAGCCGTGCAGTACTGGGACCGTCTCCAAGGTGCGTGTCACTGTCTCCACTGCGTGCGAGTCCTTAGATACCCTTTGCTATGTGCCTTTGATACCTGCCATCACTCCCAGCACGGCTGTGCGGAAGGGGAGACGATCTCCCATAGAAGCTGGCAGTAGTCCCCTCCACCTCCCAGGCCTTGCGGAGAACTAGTCGTTCCCAGCGGTAGTTGTCTGGAAAAGTCTAGGGCACCGCAAGCGCCCTGAAATGGATGGAGGGCATGGCTTGAGGAGGGCAGAGAGGTTTGGTCACCACTGAAATTTCCCATTCCCTTCCTGCTGCCAGATCCCTCACTTGGGTCGGCTCAGGGGGTTGGCCAGCGCAGACCTGTTTTGCCCATGTCTGAAAGGCACTCCTGCTGTGGGGCGAAGGCCATGGGTTAAAGGCTGATTTTCCCCTCTGCCCCATGCCGCTCTGTGGCCAGCCATGGCCTGGGACACAACTCTAGCATGTCAGGACAGGACGCACAGCCTCCCCTGGCGGTTACTCTTGGCGGCTGTCCCCACTAAGATCATGGCCTGTCATGTCTTTGGAAGCCAAGAGGCAGGAGCCTTCTTCAGCAGTACAAAAGTCCTGGCCATGGTAGCACGCAGAGGAGGGAGGCTGGAGGCCCTGCCTGCTTCTCCCACAGAAGCGTTGGCTGGAGAAGGTGCGGTGTGGCGAGGGGTGAGTACCCAGACTGCCAACTCCAGCGTGGCAGCTCCTAAGGGTCTGGTTGTTTTAGGGTCCCAGGGGCAGAGACCATGGCCCCTGCTGGGTTGGATGTTTTAAATGGCCCTTTCTGAATCATGGCGCGTGTCTGGGAGCCCCTGGCCTCTGCCAGGCAGATGATGGTCAAAAAATTGTAAATAATGACATTTTTGCATAGCTTCTCCCTCTCCGCCCACCCCCTCTCCCTGTCCCCTCCACTCCTTTCCATAGGTCGCCCCGTTCCTCTTGGACGTTGTAAAATTCATACACAGTAGCTGAGCCTTACCTGTCTAGTACTGTGCTAGACAAATAAAGATTGTAGCATGTCTCTTCATGCCAGGGCTGGTGACTGGCAGACCACAAACCTCCTTGCAGTATTCACTGTGGGTAATTTATTTAACTAGTGAATGTAGAATTAAACTAATTTAAACACTAACAGTTTGTCTGCAGGGTCGTGTGTCCTCTCTGTTAAGGGGCTGAGTCTCTTGTTCCTGTTCCATTCGTTCTTTCGCTATCACTGGCCCATGGAGCAGGGCCGGCGGCCCTGGGGC